TTGCGCCAAATGTTTTCGACATGTAAGAATGCATCCACACACTAAAGACTTTTATTCTGAGACTAATACTTTTGAGAATAGCTCTCCTGGCGTAAAAGTCATGCATGTGAAAAAGTTCGAATCGCTGATGTATTTATAGTGCTGCTGATTCTTGGCCTCAAGTCATGATTTTTGATGCAATTGCGCCAAATGTTTTCGCCATGAAAGAATGCATCCACACACCAAACAAAGACTTTTATTCTGAGACTAATACTTTCTAATTACTAATACTGTCAAGTCATGATTTTTTATGCAATTGCGCCAATTTTCTATTATTTGAACTTTTGTTGATATTTAAGAATCACCATTCAATGTTACGGTAATTATAAATGGACATGATTCATATTTCTGCGATGTATACGCTGATAAGTTTGACTATAATAAGTGTATCCCACGCAATATCGTCGATCAGCAAGATCACCTTCTACAACAGGTGCGCGAAAATGGGCTCGACAAAACGTGTTTCAAAATAACATTCCTACGTTGCTAAATATGATAGGATATATATAAGCAATAAAATGCTACATACATATTTTCGGTGCTAGTTCCACATTACATTTGGGATTGTTTTCCTTTTATAATACATTCAAAGATTCTAGCATGATTTTAGAACAATTTCACGAAGCATTTCTAAATATATTCCAAAAGTATGAAGACCGCCATGATTGCGTATTGATGATAGATTTGTAATTGTTCAGTTATTTACAGCTGTTCACAGGTTTTAAAATTTTAAGTTATATTTTTATATTTAGTAGCTATTTTTTTCCACAATGAGTGTGTGTATGGACAGTAAATATTGGTCAACGCACCAGCACACTGTTACTGATCAAACTTCAATTATTATCTTTAGTTTAAAAATAGTTTATTCTACAATTATTATCTTTCACTCTGAACATCAATTATGTGAATAAGAAACTATTTGATGCCCTCATTTAATTTTAGTTTTCTATGAATAAAGAATAAATTGATCAGAGCCTTACATATACGTACTAAACTCATATGGACATTAATCTTGTGCACTAAGTGATTTGTTTCCAAATCAAACAATTCTAAAATATATTTATAATAGGAATATGATACATTAATTACTTCTTTTTTTTGTTTAATCACAAGAACCAGGGTGGCACATAAGCTGGTGAGTTAAGCCATATGTTTATAAGATAATGTTATCTCTTGAAAAAGAAATAGGACATATTGACAATTCTTGCAGTTCTGTTCTGTTGGAGAAAAGTGCATAGAAATATCCTACCTTATGCATGTATTTATTCTGGGTTCTCACCGATGAAATAATGTGTAATTAGTCTGGCAGGACATTCCAGGTTTGTTACAGTATGTTCGGATGTCTGACAGTGAGTCTCGTGTCCCTGAAGGAACATGAACCATTGAGGACTGTGTTTTCGTGTATCAGTCAGTGTGATGTATAATGTATACACATGCACAAAAGTTAAGCGCCACCCACCATATTTGTGAGCTGTTACTTTTGGCACGTTGGTTTGGTTTGTTGTTTAACGCCGCCCTCATCAATATTCCAGCTATATGACGGCGGTCTGTAAACAATCGAGTCTGGACCAGACAATCCAGTGATTAATATCATGAGCATCGATCCACGCAATTGGGATCGATGACATGCATCAACCAAGTCAGCGAGCCTGACCACCCGATCCCGTTAGTCGCCTTTTACGACAAGCATAGTCACCTTTTACGGCAAGCATGGGTTGCTGAAGACTTTTGGCACTTAATGATGACGATTATAACGAGATGTACGATTGTTATAAGCTGTATATGCAAAACCTCATGTGATGAAAAAGTTTTCCCAAAGCAAGTTTATCTTGTGTTCCAAAAGAATATGAGCAGAAAGGAATTTTACCGAAGACCAGAAATTAAAGGAATAGAAAACATTGAAAAACTTTTTTTTGGTCATGTAACTGTCATGATATCAGCAGACCATATCAGGTGTCACATAGACACCCTAGGGAGTGCAGAGTCTATTGCAAGACAGAAACGTCAGTAACGTGTGTATGATCCACGGACATTGACCACAGCTTTAACCCTACGCCTCATACTCATTACAAGTCGTTGAATGCTTCTCTGAGGCAAACGGATCCATTCTTCATGAAGTGCAGCTTCAAGTCCAGCGAGATTTTGAACTGGGGGATCACGATGTCTGATTTTCCGGCCAAGAATGTCGCACAGATGCTCAATCGGATTAAGATCCGGACTACAGGCCGGCCAAGGAAGAGTGGCAATAGCTTCTTGACACAAATAAGCCAAAACTGCCCGAGATCTGTGTGGTGTAGCATTGTCGTCCATGTAAACAGGTCTTGTCTGAAGAGGATGGTTGTCAAAATGAGTGACTACCACTGGACGAAGAACGGCATCTTGGTATTGTTGGCCATTCAGGTTTCCACGAATTGTCACCGTGTCACCAAGTTTGCAGCCGAAGGAAACGCGACCCCATATCATGACAGACCCCCGCCACATGCTAAGGTCTTCTGGATGTTCCTTGGTGCAAAACGAATGTTACGTTGCCTCCAAACACGTATTCGACCATCAACAGTTCGTAGCAGCATTCGACACTCGTCAGACCAATGGATCCTTCTCCAGTTGGCCAAGTTCCATCGACTACGGGCACGACACCATATCAGACGATTCCGCATGTGTCTCTCTGTCAGTTGAGAGCGTTTTACTGGTCTTCTGGCGTTATAACCAGCCGCTCTGAGGCGACAGTTTAATGGATTAAAAGGCAGATGACATAATTGTTGTTTTTTCAAATGTTCAGGGCTTACACAGTTTCGGGTCAATACCCAAAATGTCAGTCAATACCTGGTGTGACCACCATCAGCATTGATCACTGCCACACATCTCCTGTACATTGAGTGGATTGAGTGAAGGCCCTAGTGATCATTCTGCACACATCTAGAGAAGCTGTGCATAGTTCATCGGCAGTAGTAGGGACTGGGCGCACATTGTGCAGACGCCTTTGAACCTCATCCCACAAGTGTTCGATGGGGTTCAGATCAGGGCTGAGGGCTGGCCACGGTAGAACACGGATGTTGTGTTGTTGCAGAAAGGCCTGGCAACGTGGGGACGAGCGTTGTCCTGCTGGAAAATGTTTTGTTGATGCAAAAAATTGAACAACGTGGGGTCTGATCACTTGGTCGATATACCGCTGAGCAGTGACGCCGTGTCCCCAACCTTGACCAACATTCAGAAAGTACACGGGTCCTGGTCTCGCATTAAGTCCAATCCCTGCCCATTTCACGACGCTAGGTCCACCCATGGATCCCTTTCCACAACGTTTCTGTCAGCGAAACGATCACCTCGACGCTGCCAAATTCTGACACTTCGGTCTGCATGGGAGAACAAAAGCGACTTTCATCAGAGAAGATGACATGCCTCCACTCACGATGACGCCAATTGTGATGACCCTGTGCCCACTGAGGTCGTGCTTGTCGTTGCCGTGGTTGGAGAACAGGACGACGTTGCTGGTCGGCGACATCTGAGGTTGTTGGAACGGAGACGTCGGATCACAGTGTCCCGGCTGATGTGTCGATCATGTGTTCCTATGGTCTGTCGAGCACTTTCACTTCGCTGGTGTTGACGGGTAATCTGCCGATCTTGTCGAGGTGTGGTGACCCTAGGACGACCGCTCCGAGGAAGCATTGTATCGATGCAGGAGACGGTACATTGTGGTTATGTTAACGTTGCAATGACGGGTAACATCTTGGACAGACTCCCCAGCTTCCAAACGTCCGATAGCCTGGTTTCTCTGAATTTGAGTTAGGCGTGGCATTTTTTACCAAGGAGTGGTAGGTCCAAGAATCGGCCCCAGTTTTATACCCACTACAGTTCGTGCATTTTCTATTTCGCGAGAAATGGGTGCATCATACCCACACATTCATTGAAATGGTGCGTTTTGGCGATTCGTTTTTTATGTTGCGTTTTTACTCGGGGCTTCCAAAATGCAACCAAAAACAGTGATAACACCATCAGGCTTCACTACATGCTAAAACTCGGATCACCCTACGGTTCCGTGTTTGTTACCCATTTGCTTAAAACCACCTGCCTTTTATTTTGCGCGTGGGTATAGTATTACGGGATCGCGATGCAAGTGGAGTTGTTTGTTTACCGCCGTTGCCATGATCATACAAGTTCCATCCAATCGACGATGTTACGATTCAGATTGTTTTTGTTTACAATTAGTTACACAGAAAGTTGCTAATTTTTTTTAATTTCCTTTCGTCAGCAAACAAAAAATTATGATCGAATATGAAAAATGATCAAATAGTAAAGAAAATATCGGACTGCATGCGCTCAACGTGAAGTGCCAAAAGTAAAAAAAGGCCGTTTCTGGTAGATCTAGTTGTGTGCCGAGAAGTTTGGCCGAAACGTTTTTAATTCGCGATATTTTCTTTTGGAGGTTAATAAACTACTGAAAGTTTTAATATTGAGCAAGCTGAGCATTTATGCATGTCATACGTAATTTAAATGTTACGCAAAGCCTTCTTGGTAAATAGATATGTCGTGTTTTATTTTGGGATGTCGTTATGCTATTCGCCTATCAAATGGGTTCGACATCAGATGCACGATAAGTGACACCTCTGTCGAATTTGCTCGACGTTAGCGTGCAGAGCTTTAGGGAATGCTGCAAAGGGATGAAGCAAAGTTCAAGAGGGGACGAGAGAGCCTGGAAGATCCGTGGTAGAATAGGTCTTCAGCATCCCCTACATGCTGTTAAAGGTGACAATGTCTGTCACAAGAGGCGACTAATGGGATGGGGTAGTCAGGCTCGCTGACTTGCTTGATGCATGTCATCGCATCCCAATTGCGTGAATCGATGCTCATGATGTCAATCACTGGATTGTCTGGTCCAGACTCGATTACTTACAGACTGCCATCATATAGCTGGATTTATTGCCGAGTGCGTCATTAAACAGCAAACAAACAAACAAACACTTCCGTATATATGTTGATATTATAGTGATATGATTGAGTACAAATGACACACCACATTTCATGTAGCAAAACAGCAGGCCTCAAAGTTTAAATTTTTACCAAGTAGGCATATGGCTCCAGGTAGCCAGTGGTTAAATCAAGAAGTCAAGCCAATATTGTAAGTAGCAAAAAGCATTTGAAATTATCTTTTATCAAATAACTATTATAATATGTACAAGTCATAGCACTAATCTTGAAATTGTATATTAGTGGAAACTGTTCTTGATTTGTTATTTGTGACTCAAACAATGATGCAATTTATGCTTCTAGATTATTTAGGTATATCCCTGCTTATCCAATGAGCATTGTCAACTGAAATAAAATACTAATTACATTAATGTTTCTGTATTTCTGTGTATTGTCGACTTAAGGAGGACTTATACACATGTACAATTATTAGCAGACATGTTTTCCACAATCAGCTGTTATTTACTTTTGTGTCTACAAGTGTCAAGCAATAGAATTAAGTCGCCACAAGATATTTTTAAACGCTACCTCTGAATTTAAGACAATAGACAAATTGAAATTTAGGTCGAATTGGTGACCGTTTTAGTCGCAACTTTGAGGCCTGTGTAACAGTATAAATTTCTACTGAGAGAGTTGAAAAGATTCTGAGGAATGGACAGGGCATAACACAGATTTCAGCCAAGGTTCCAAGGCTTCTGACCTTATCAGAAACGCTCCAGGTTCATCACCTTTCAAGACAAGTTACGAAGTTTTGAAGCTGATTTTGTTGAGCAATATGTAATCATGGAAGAGTCTTGGGTTCACCATCAACCAGAGACTAAACAACAGTTAAAGCAGTGGAAACATGAAACTTATCTAACTTCTTTTATCTGTCTCTAATTAAATATCTCCAATGACATTTTTATCCAGAAATGGCCACCTGAAATTGTGGTATGAGCTTGGCAGCTACATACTTAGACCCTGCAGTTGGGCTACAATATCATGGTTAAAATCTAAGTCAGAGGGTTGTTTTCACAGAACACATGCATGACCATTTCCTCAGTAAATTCATTCCAGCACTTGTTCCATTTGTCATTAAAACATTTCTGGGGCGTTTAACCTTTAATCTCCAGGTGTATCCTATGAAGGAACACATGATGTAGAAAGAAGTTAAAGTGAGCATAAGGCAGCTGTGCATGCTATTGAGCCTGTGGCAACCAGATGTAGATATGACATTTTGGATGACGTAAGTTTGGACACTTTCCTTAACACTAAGCATAAACCTTGAAAGAATTAGTACAGTATAGTATTACCTTATTGTTGTCATCATAAACACACTTCAGTTTTTGGAGATGCCATTTAAATCAGAAGCAAATACAGACAGATGATAATTTTACGAAATACATCTGCCTCAGATACATCTGGTAGGCATGATTATTTACCTGGTCTTTATCTGTGCACAGAATCAAGAAAGAGTACCTATTAGTTTTAGAGTCATGGTCCGGACAAACACACAAATAGGATTTAAAGTCAAACTTCTTGCCATAGAAACAGGATTTTTTTTTTTAATTCCTAAATAGCAAAAGGCACCACTTTAGCATTTGATTAATACATGTACCAAGTTTGGGTGAAAAACGTTGAATAGTTTTTTAGTTCTGCTCTGGAAACAACACCTACCTTCAGCTAAGTCTAACTTGTTTCCATGGAAACAGAGAAAAATCTAATTTCGAAAAATCTAAGGATAGCAAAGGCACCAGTTGACAACCTGGTTCTTTCAAGAAAGAGTACCTATTAGGTCACAGGTCACAGTTGGGGTACTCATGCTTCGGGTAGAAAGCCACAACCAGACAGCCAGGCATTGTCCTGGACAATGCTACATGAAGAATCCTTGTTCAAGATGTGAAGGCCTGAAACAGCCATTTTGTGGTTCAGGTACATGTACAATGTTTAAGGGTCAGGCCATGGTTCTGGAATGACACTGCATTAGATTACGTCAGCCTAGTCCTGGTTCGGGTACTGTTCTACACCACTGTTTTAGTAAGGAAAAACAGCTATGGGTCGGGTACAGTGCTACACTGAGATAGCCAGGGTATGGGTCGGGTATGATGCTACACCAAAACAGCTTGTTCAAGATTTGGGTACAATGCTACACTTTGACCACCTAGCATGTTTTTTCGAACTAAAAGAGCTTTTCTCATTGCAACGAGTCTGATAGTGAGATGACATCAAATAAATGACAAACTGTTTCAAGTGCCATTAAATCCAACTCACTCATCCATCTGAATACACAGACAACTGCGACAAGTATGAGCATATTATGAAGCACAATTTCCTGACATTGGATTAATGTTGAAATAAAAAAAAATTTATTTCACAATCCTGGCCCTAGGGGACAGCCTACAGGGACTGGAGATTATAGAAGGGTTAGACACAGCATTTCTTTTTTCAATTTTGATAAAAATCTTTAAATTGTTATTTTCCAAGTATATATATTCAAATAAATCGTAATCTATATTCACATTATTAATAGAAATCATTAAGAATCGAATTCAATATAGGTTTTACGTTTATGGAATTATAAACATAAAGACCTAAGTGCATACCAGTTTTAACATTTATAACTCCATATATCGCAAAATCATATTGAAATCATTTCTTATAAATACATATGCCACCAATAATAACTTCAGACTGCTCATCAAATCACGAACACAAAAAAAATGCATACAACAGCACATAACCGGTGTTCTTCAGCACAATAATGCAACACAAGGCCCACCTTGATGTGGAACGGAGACCTGCACCACAAAGTTTACAATCACAGCACAATACACTGTGACGTAATTTGTGGAATTTTGCAGCAAGATCCATCATCAAAACAATGCCATGTGACGTCAGCCTAGCAACAAGGTTGCTGGGGTCATCGAGTGTGCTTAAGCTCCTCTCAGTGATCTATCATTTCCACACGCAATGTCGTTGAATGAGCCAAGTTATGTTTAGAGCTTTTAATATTAGGTCATGGAACTTGTTCCCACAGTACATAAGCACACATTTTAGTATTACACAATGTGTAATACAGCTGTATGTTTATTAAACGGGTGATCTCTTCACGAGCAAGTAATAAAAAAAGTGTAACAAATGTTATATTTGGGATAACACTTTTTAGTAAAGTAAAGATTCTCATACTTTTTGGGGTTGAGTCCCATCCAGGATCCCATCTTATAAATAAAAAAACCCCTAAATTCCGACATTCATGATCAGAGTATGTTTGAAATGCCCAACCTATTTATACATGGGAAATTTAGATCCTACCTAAAACATTAGCAACCTTTATACGAGGATTAATTCATAAGTTCTAATCACCAATAGGAATCACAAAATTGTGAAATCTTTTGTTGTGGACATTATATTATGTCATAGAGGTATATCCATCAAAACTTGATTCATTTGAGGAAAATGCCAGGCTGTGACAAGGCAGTAAAGTAAGCAATGGTCTGTGACCATTGAAAAATGGACAAACTGGGTGAACATGCTCTGACAAAGTACTTGCAGAGAAAAAGTCTCAACACCAAAAGCCATCCATGAAGATATGAGTACAACGCTAAGAGCATTTAGTGATATTTAATTTAATTGTTACAATATATTCAGAAACTTCAAGAATGACTGTCCTTACTGTCACACAATATGCTTCGAAGTGCAGTCAGACAGCTTATGTGATTATATTTAAAACCATAACTGTACACGATAGATTAAAAATTTCATAAAGAAACATACCAGTGAACAATATGATAGAAAGACAAACTACTTTAAAATGTGTGTTTGATCTTTAACAACTCCATCAGACCCAATAGACAATACAATTGATGAGGTTCATGAATATCATCAACATTCTGCAAGCCTTACTTAGGCATGAAAAGGTGTTTGGAGCATTTGGGCACAAACAAGTTGCCTAGATACTGTTGCATCGCAAAAGTAACCAAAGACAAACACGCATTATCATCAATTTCATCGCTCCAGTGAAGATATACGACAACATCAAAGTTGGTTGGACCCAGCAGGTCCCTCTGCAGTGAGTTAAGATATTTTGCTTGTGAGCTTTCACAATTCACCAAGACACATACTAACATGAACTGTGCAGGCAAGGTGAAATGCAGTTGTACTGCATCCATGGGGTATTTGCTTATACAGTGCCAAAGAGATTGCTTGTTTATCTTAATAATGCATTCTTTCAGTAACTAGCATCCATTAGGATCTACAAAAGTGTAAATCAATATATCAATCATTGAGAAGCCTTTCATCCAGTATTATTGGTCAAAACATATACAAAAGAATGTGGAAAATACATGCATGTCAGTGCTTTAACAGCAGTAAGAACATAACATATCACACAATATCTGACAGTAACAATTCTTGCCAGAATGGGGGAAAGTAAAAAGACCTAATAATTTATTTTTACTTTGTGTTATGAATGCTACTGCGAAATAGTGATGCCTCAGCTTGGCTGAACATAGCATGTGTTGCTCTTCTGTGTGGATAATATTAATTCAGTTGACATCGGCAAGTAAATAATATAAAGAGCCAAGAAATTGGCTTCTCATCTTCAACATGACCTGCCCCTTTCCAAATGTTGATGATGGTTTCAGCATGACTTGGTAATCCTGTGCTGCTCATCTGGAGCACTCGTGTCAATTTCCTTTTCTTCCTCCACTGGTTTTTCCACTATTTCAGGCATAGAAGGGGTATGAGGGGAATTATGGGGTGTATTGCTGTCCTGTCTCTGCCACTGAACACGTGTACGAATGTCTTCCAAATTTTCACTGGGCCTTGTACGTCTATTTCTCATTTCATGCATATACAAAGCACTGAAACTCATATCAGCAGACATCAACTCCCGTGTACCCTCATCAATAAAACGCGACGATGCAATTGCACTTAGTCCACTACTGAGAAGATCTGTCGAGTTCTGTAAGCTGCCCATACTTGAGGTATACAGAGGTCCATCAATGCTGGTGAGAGCTCCGCGAAGACGAGCAGGAAGCTGTACTGGGTGAGAATGTCCATGAGTGGTCATTGTGCTCTGGGTAGCGTTACTTGTCACCATACTGCTGAACTGAAATAGTTTAACAGAAGGATATTCATCATTGTATGCACAATCAATGATACAATTATTTTCACCTTACAACTGCAAAATAGCACCTATCACTGTAGCTCAACTGATACAGATATCACTTCACGAGCACCAGTGTATTGTTTATGTCATCCGGACGGAATTGTGGGCGTCATTAAAATCTTACTTTACGTAAGGTTGGAATGACAACACACTATAAACGATGTCATAGCTGAAGATTAATGTCGTCCTTCTGAAATGTAATCGTGATCAGTGCATTTGTTCTAAAGGGGGGCTCAAAAGGATTGAGAAATAATGGGTAATATAGAAATTATTACACTCACATGTGTGTCATTCTGATTTACAAAACTTGCTTTCGCTTGGGAAATACAAGAATTTTGACACTTGTTATGACACACATTCTTGCATAAAAAATCTCTATTTACAAACTATTATTTCATCAAAATAAAGCAAGTTTCTTGACTTTTTATTACATTAGAATCTATAAATGTGTAGAAATTACAGTGGAATTCACTTCTACGAACATCGCAAAAATAGAATAGTTTCACCAACGACAACTTGCTGAGTGACTAATACCATAAAGAAAAAAACAAAGGAGATAGCTTCAGATTGTAATTAGAGTCACTATACCCTTTCCCAAAATGAACTACTGGTAATTTTGTTTCACCAACGTGTGTTTGTGTGTGTGTGTGTGTGTGTGTGTGTGTGTGTGTGTGTGTGTGTGAGAGAGAGAGAGAGAGAGGGGAGAGAAAGAGAAAACAGTATACTGACTCGAGTTGATAAGTCCTTGTTTTAGCCCCATTATGCTGTGCGCCAGACAGGGTTACAACAAGTACCATCTTTTAACATGTTTTGGTATGACGCAGCCGGGGATCGAACCCCCAACCTTTTTCTCTCCTGGCGGACGCTACCACTAGACCACAGATGACAGTCTCTAAAGGTGAAATTATTTAAGTAATTAATATCTTCTTATTCATTGAAAAACATTTTAACAACTGGTTGAAGAATTTATGATTTTGGAAAATGTATATCATGGAATCCATTCTTAAGTCAGTTTTTGTCATGATTATTTGAAGTTGGATTTGGATAGACCTCCTCTGAACCGTCTTACAAGAGGCACTATCCATATATGAAGTGTTTGCTTAAAATCCATTAAACCAGAGACAAAACTTGCCCCAAACAGGGCACTGGTACAATCAGTGGACAATGCATAACCTCTACTGTTGTGCTAAATATTTCTAAAGGGTAAAAAGGATGTGTTGTTAGCTTGGAATTGAGTACAGAAGTGGTGAGGGTCAAATTCCAGGATACCATTTAAGAGGTTCAAGCTCAAACATTGAGAAATGTTACTGTTGTGCCTTTCTATTAGATATTCCATTCTAAACAAATCTGAAAAGTATTTGATTCTAACTTAACATTTAATGTGTCTACTGATCCATATACAGTGTACTATTGTATTTTCCAGTTGGGTAGGCTTCATTTTCACCATATTTACTGTAAAATTTCTTTAAAATAAAGAAGCCCAATATAAATGTCTCCCAAAATGTATATTGCAAGTACAGAAGCTGATAGAAAAGAGTCATGAGAACTACATTCTGTTAGAGTGACATAATAATTCAGAGGTGCAAAGAAACTCACTGTTCACAGCCAGCAAAATATATATATAAATAACGTGCATTTTAGTACTTAAACTGATTATTCAGATTCTAATATGTGCAGATGCCTTACCCCATATCCGACACCAATGCCTAGGCTTGGCATTGGGCTGTACAATGAGGAAAATGCTGCATTCTCCTGTTGCATTACACTGAGTGAAGCCATATCCTTTTGGGCTGAAATGGATAATACATTTTAGCTCACTTGGCAAGAGCATACAAATGCTTGGATATGGGGTGGGTGGTGGCGGTTTGTTCTGGGATTTTTTGGAAAGAATTAATTTGATTATGAAGTTACTGTGATAACAATATTTTGCTTCTGTTTCACAAAACAAAATTACCTCTTTTTGTTGGGAGACCTGGATGTCCAGAAAAAAAACCCAGATTTAATTATTTCTCCTTTCAGAGAAAAATAAGTCCCAAAGTTTTACCCAAAATTATTCTGTCTCTAACAAAAATCCCAGTCTCCCAAAGAACATTTCCTTTCAAAATTCTTAAGGTTCTCAGATGTCTGGCTTGGAGTCATCTTATTATTGATAGGATTAAAATAATTATTATAAAGCTTAAAGCCAGAATGTCTGAAAGTACAATAATTATCTTCAGGCTTATTATATTAGGCTTTCATAGGCCAAAATGGCTTGAAGCCTCATCGTAATTGTTAGACTTCTTATATATTCTAACCATGACACTGAATAATCTTGTTTGGTCCTAATACCATTAAAATCAGGTATCAAATTCCATTTGATACCTCAAAATAAAAAAATCGAAACAATAGTTATAGTAGTATAGGTAATAGGGGTTCTGGCTCACTTCCACTGGAGCTGGATTTATATACCTATACCATCACTACAGATGGAATTTTTTATGCCAAAATGATTATGCGATTCAATGATAGTCATAAGATTCAGCTAAATTGACTCCAGCTCACCACCACCTGGAGTCTATGATATAAATTTTTATAGGTAATGATGGTTCTGGCTCACTTCCACTGGAGCCAGATTTATATTAAACGAAATATCAATATTAATTAATAATGGATAAAATTTACTATAGCCCACGAGGATATTGGAAAGGTGTAGGAGCAATAAAAAAATTAGCCACCGCGGCTAAGGTATCTAAAGATGTGGCCAAGGATTGGTTAAAGAAACAAGCGATGTGGCAGATATATTTACCAGCACCGCGTTATATACCGAGGAAGAAGTTTGATATTTTTACAACGAATGAAGTTCATCAGGCTGACCTCTTGTTTCTTCCCCACGATAAGGTAAAACGCAAAACGTATAAATACGCTTTAACGGTAGTGGATGTGGCTAGTCGATACAAAGAGGCTGAGCCATTAACATCTAAAGAATCAACAGAGGTAGCTAATGCACTGAGTCTCATATATAAACGCGGACCGCTAAAATGGCCTAAGCTATTTCAAGTAGATCCCGGTCGCGAGTTTATGGGATCGGTAACTAAACTGTTAACAAAGAACGATGTCGAAATTGTCCGTGGTGAAAGAGAGGCCCACCGCAGTCAAGCTATCGTCGAAAGATTTAACAGGACATTAGCGGAACGTTTGTTTGGCTATCAGTATGGGATAGAAATGAAATCCTAGCGATTGAGATCAACCGAATGGGTGACACGATTATCAGCCGTTGTATCAGCGCTGAATAATGAAGTAACGAGATTAATAGGGAAGAAACCATCCGATGCTATTAAAATGAAATCCGTGACTTCCGAATCTTCAGCACCGAGGAGAGGCAAAGAACGAAAACTTCCGGATAGAGTAAGCGTAAGATATTTATACCAGGCCGGTGAACTCGAAGGAGGCCTATGTCGCGCAACCGATCCCATATGGTCCCTTAAGACGTATAACATTAGTCGATTGGTTACGAAAGAAGGAGAGCCTATTCTTTATTATCTTCAAGATGGACCGGGTAGGGCATTTGTACGAGAAGAGTTGTTCATAGTTCCCGACGGTACGGTATTACCACCATAACCATAAGCATAGGTATTTACACCATCATTATCAATCCATCTCTTTGTATCTAAGGGGGATAATGATGTCTTGTTCATTCTTAATCCATATATCCTATGATTGTAACTTCTTAAAGAGTTCATCTCGTGTTTGAACGTTCTACCGTTGAATAATGATTCTTTATACTGTTCGTGTTTGATATGCTTTTTTACAACATACTTCTTAACGCCCTTGGCTTTTCTTATCTCTCCATTATCGGACTTCTTTATAGAATACATCTTAGGTCTTAATCCCACATACTCCGCTATAGGGGTCCCAGCACATTCATCCTTCATCTTACCTAACACCTTTTTATTTACAACGCTGTGCAGTGGATTATCTTTTGGGTAATCGCTCGTGTCGTACATATCTAATTTTTCTGCCATATCTTTATACACATCCTCGGTTTGTATTTCCATCAACAAAGAATCTGTGTCGGTATATAACACCTCACATCTATCGCCGTATTGCTTCTTAAGTTCGTTGTAATAAAAGTCATACATTAAATGTTTTGACAAGTCGAGAATACTCATACCGACGTACACCGGTCTGTTGAATTTTATATTACTCTTCTGCATATGCAACGCGGCTAAGTCGTTATCGAATATCTTGCTTCTGTTAAAAGCCGGACTGGCTATAAGTTTCCTGAGTCTTTCTTCCTCATTAGATCTGATTAATTTAACATCAACACGCTTCCTTAGATTCTCCATAGTTTTACCAAATACCGAGTTATTCATGAGCTTATACAGATTCTTTTCGAAATCGCTGGTAGCTATCTTTCTTAAATCTGTGTTCAACCTTATATAGGGCTCCATCCAAGGGCTTTGATCGAACTTTAGAACTCTGTGTATTTTCTTAAGTTTCATACCTAACGATAGATACAACTGGAGATTTCTGTAGTGAACTATATATTTTGTTTTATCCATCAAATTTGGTACGAGTTTTTCTACGTTAGCTAACCTACTATTTCCCATCAAGGAGCGTTGATATTCCGACATCCAATCTTTATTAACCATTAATCTTTCGGGAGCTAGCGGATAACTGTTATGATCTTTATGTAACGAACTTGGATATTCCAAGTCAACTTCTAGTATGTACCCTTTATTCACTTCGATATTATGGATATTAATAACATTGATATCATTGACCCATTCAAAACCACCCGTGGGTAAAGGTTGACTCATAGCCCATCCGTACAAATTGTTAGCGTCGAGATATAATATGTGCGTGTCGGGTTTACTGGGATCGTATCCTTCCACTAATTTATTATTAGCCTCAGAATACCTTTTAGCTGCCATCGATATACCACCTCTTAATCCTTTCTCAATAAACAAGTGCATATCGTAATCTGTGAGTAGTTTTAGTTCTACGCCGGTCTTCTTCAACAATGCATCCCACGATAGTCCGGGACTGGAATAGTACCATGCCGGGTCCAAGCCATATTGTTTGAAACATGTCTTTCTAAATATCTCGAATATATCGGCGAGTAACAGTACATCGGTTTTTAAGTACAGATCGTGATAATCGCCTAAATTCTTACAACCTAATTTATCCCAGACCGTCAGAGCGTGTTCATAATTGGCATCTGTTATTCTAGATTCTGTTAAGTTACTATAGAATGATTCGAGGGGTGGTAATTCAGTTTCTTCGAATCTAGACCAATCATCCATATATTCGTAAGGATATACACCTTTTCTCAGCAACAAATGACGTGTTATCTTATCGGTATATTTATTTGTTATCGCGAAGTCATCGGGATTGTTCGCATTAGCTAAATTGTCCAGGGAAGATAACAGAAACTGTACGGAGTCTATGAATCTAAGCCCATTACTTTGCTTTGTTCTAGATTTCCCATCCTTGTCCCTATAATGTGTAGGTTTAGTCAACGAGAACGATATGTATTTTTCCATATTATTAGGAATGCACGTTAAACCGCCGTCGGTCTTCGAGATAGCTTGCATAATGAGATGTGAATCGTATCCCCTAAGGTTATGAAACACAACGGGGATGGGTATTGTTTGAGAGTTCATTTTTAGTTTCAAGTTACACTCGTTATGAGCGGCTCCCCGATAATTACCCGTGACGTGACAATGATCTCTTACGGAATCCCCATCCAGGGGTTTGTTACAAACATGACAACTCGTTGACTTCTTATGAGCCCACCAATCATCCCTCGTCATACGCATGGGTTTCTTACACGATAATTTTTCCCTGATTATTCTCTCTTCATTTTGTAGATATTCTAGGAACTTTCCCGCTGCATCGGGACCTCTGTAAATCACGGGCGGGTTTGTTTTCCCATCATACCTTACAACTATATATCCAAACCCACAAGGAATATGTTCTTGAGTTTTGTACGTAAAACTACTATCAGTATTGCTATGGTTGGTATTTTCTATGGGTTTGATAAGCGCTTCGAAGTCGGCGTAAATTACGTACGGTACTGGCATTTGATTACAATAATGTTCAAATTTTAATATATTTTTTCCCTCTTTAGGCATATCGATCCTGATAGCATTCTGTCCAACACCTCTACAGTCTTCTTTATGCGCTTCTAATAGATCTTGTCTGCTGTACCCATGCAGGCATCTTTCGCAGAAATATTTCTTTCCCTTATATTTAGTTTGATCGTATAATAGCTTGTTTAAACTCTTTATCCACGTATAATGATATTTACCATCTTTTTCGATCAGAAATGAATTGATTCTGGGGATATTTTCCGGAGCGGAGCTTATCCTGTGTACAATAATTCCTTTAGAATGTCCGAAAACATTTATAGCTAAATTATTTTGCTTTTCCACCTTATCAATTTGTGATATTGGTGTAGGTTCGTCTATACCATCGAAGTTGAGTCCATCGTTTTGGGGATAGCTAGAAGGTCTATCCGGATTTTTGTCTACGGGGAACAATGCAGATCTTATCATCATTCTTAAACAGTCATCGGATTTATTTTTTACGTTAATTATGGCTTTTTTCTTCTTATAATACGGAGGTAAATCTATATAAGATCCACCTTTGAAAGGCATATAATTTGCTATATCTAAATATAAACTATCGATTTTATCAACACCCCAACCCGAACCTCTATTAGTCCAGCGTTCTAAAGTTTCCTGTATCCTCTGAATTGATGTATCTAATGATGAGTTTATAGTATCGGATTCGGTTATAACTTCTT